TCCGATCTATGAAAAACAAATGGAAGATACCCACTGCAAGAAATTTTCAACAAATATATATATGGATTTGTTCACTTCATTTCTTACTTTCGACACAAGTAATTATGGTAATTATAATTACAAACACAATGTACTGTCATTTAATTAAAGACTATATGTGCTCCATGTATATATGTTAATGTAATATAATATAAAAAATAATGTGTTTATTGTTAAAATATGGGATATATAATACCATAAACCTCTGACTATAAGCCCTGGGCTTATATTCTTTTGTAAGTGATTTTTGATGGGCTTAGGGGAGGGGGCTTACATGCACGGGGGCCTTATACATGGACGATCAATCGTGTTAGTGATAAACAAGTCAGTCATAAACAGGAAAATAAACATGTATTAATAACACACTTCCATTAACATAGTAAGCTATAAAGACAATGACAGTGTTTCAAATATCATTCTCTGCTATATTAAAAGACAATGTCAATGTTAAATAACATAGTGGGATACTGGGCTTATATTCAGGGGGCTTATATTCAGGGGGGCTTATATTTGAAATGAGGTGAGCATTATATTCAGAGGTTTACAGTATACAGTTCAAAAAAGCTTGTATTTTCTTGTCACAGACACACATTTCTGGGTGCATATAGAACAGCTTATACGTCAGGTTCTCATGTCGATCCAATGGTAATTTGATATCGCTGCCATCACCAAATATAGTGTAGCACAGAATGGCCTTGTATCATACTTTGACATCATGCATGCAGAAATGCCTTGGTCATTCATGTGGAGATATTACTATCACGATAGAATTAGTTACGCCAAGTAACACGTCGTACACGTCAGGTAGCAGCTGAAATATTTTAATATTTGCCATAATAAGCCCATAACCTGTTGGAAAACAACCAAAACATCTTCACCATTTTACATTATGTCCGAGATACATTTGAATGTCTCGTCTTTTAACGAATATTCAAGCCCTCTTTTCGCTAGAACAACTTTCATAGCTCTTTCAGTATTTGCCATTGAATATAATTTAATAGTAGTACGATTTAAAGCACCTTTAAACGTATAAAAACCCATTTTGTATACTATAAATTCTGATATCTTTGTTTAAAACAATATCGATTGTGAGCGTGTGCCCGCGCGAATTTAGTAAGCGGAATAAACAAAAGCAATAAAAGCGCATGCGCCATTTATCTCATTTTGGATAAAAAAAATTCGATTTCCCCAGAGTCATGCCACTACCTAACCCGCGAACAGGCATACTCTGGGAACGAGATTGTGTCGCTCCTTCCTAGCATCGTCATTCGTCACGCCATCGTGATCTACAGCTTGATAGCACATGCGCATTTGCGCTGCTAAAGAAAAAAAAGGGTGTTCCGGGGGAAAGATCTTTCACACAACACGGAGAAGCAAATGTTATAAAATTGACAAAAATTTGCAATAACAACAATTCCTGGAAATTTTTGTGAACTTGGCAAAAGGACAAAATAAGTATTTAAATAAGACAACTGAAATTGCTTAAATAACCTTCAAAGCACTGACTAAGTAGAATAAATCACCACGACGATAAATCGTATACACCCCCCGGAAAGTTTACTCTATGATATCTGATGTATGACAGTTGTGAATTTTCGCCACTCATCACAATAGTGCACAGTTTCAAAGAAACTCTGCACTAAAAACCGAAAGGAAAAATAATAACTAATATTGAAAGTAAGATAACTGTCATAACTTGGCTGTCTCGTGACAACTTTTTGTACGTTATAAAACTATGACCACAGTTATAAAACTGTGTTATGACCCAGTTACACGATACTGGATTCGCTTTTACGACATCAACATATGCCGTTTGGGAGTAATTTCTGCCCACAAAACTTCCCACTTTAAATCAATTTATTAATTATAATAAATTATAATTATATATAATTAGAAAAAAATAATAAAAACGATATCGGCAAGTTAGCACAAGAGAAACCAATAGGCTATATATCTGGAGGCAGTATCACGGAAACATTTTAAAATAAGATCTCAAATGCTTGTGTGATGTTACTCTGAGTGTATATCCACACCGAGCAGGCTTGAAAAATATGTCTGGCCACGGTGGGATTCGAACCTACGACCTTTGGAATACTAGCCCAAGCCTTCATGCTCGGTGTGGCTGTATACCCAGAGTAACATCACACAAGCATCTTATTCACCTGAGTACATTACACCAACACAGCAAATATCAAGACCTCAAAGGATACAATAAATTAATAATCACAATACGAACAAGAGGAAATAAAAATTGAAAGCTTGAAGAATAATATGCAGTATTTAATAGGTGATTGGAGGAATCTTTATCAAAAATAAAAAAAATTTTGGCTTAGACTAAAATAAAGAGATTCTTAACGCATTGTACGAATATCACGGCAATGAGCGTGGGAAAACTCATTCATAGTGATACAAAAGTGATCATGTGATTAAATACGTAATCAAAGACACCTTTAATGTACTTTTACATATAAATCTTGCCTTTTTTTCCAGGTAGTAAGTGGATCGGCAAATGCCCTTAGACCATCATTCGTTCAAGATCAAAACAATCTTAAAAGTCTTTTAAGGGAGAAGAATGTGGGAGGAAATTGCTTGAATGAAGTCTTTAGAGTATTTTGTGAGTACAGTGCCCCGGCTTGCACAAGAGACGAACAATATGAAGTTGCACTTCTCAGTAAACAGAAGTGTCTTAAGATCTTGAAATGGTAAGCAAATATAGGAGCTATTGTCTTTGTAAAAATATATTGCTTATCATAACTTTGTAAAAAGATATTGCAATGCGATAAACACTCTAAAAACACTTTGATTAAAATTTTCCAGTTAACCCAGAAATTACTCCATTTGGGCCGGTTAATTTAATATTTCTGGTTAAATTTCCTGGTCATTTTATCTCTACCTACAATAATCTTGTTAATGTAACCAGGAATCTGGTTATATTTGACCAGGACGTCCTTGTTAAATTAACTATAGACTATGTTAGGTGGATATATAACCAGAGCCCCTGGTTATTTATTCACCTAGCCCAAGACGTTCTGGTCAAATTAACTAGACTAGACTAGATTAGGAAAAAGGTAAAATTAACCACGATATCTATTATTTAACTAGAATGTTATGTTGACCCAAATAGGATTCGAATTTTTAGAGTGTATATTTATATCTTCATGTTCCCCCAACTCAACATGTCTTTGCCCAGGGCCGTAGCCAGACCAATAATTGGGGGGGGGGGGTATATTCATATATTCGTGTTCTGCCTGACGGATTTCTTTTGAAAGCGATTGTTTTTACTGTATATGAACATGAATATATGAATATACTCCCCCCCCCCAATTATCGCGTCTATAGCTACGGCCCTGTCTTTGCCTAGAACGTTACTGCACTTTGCTCCAGTATTACAGCACATATACGTGTTTAAAAACTCAATAATTCACGAGGAAAAGATAAAGGAAATCACTACGGTGTCTGTGGTTAAATATGTGGTAAAAAATCATGTTCATTTATATAAACTTTAGCTTGGATTTTCAAGGCTTAGACAACGTTTATTTTAAAATTACTTTGCCAATGAACTCATAAGTCACGGAAAACACTCGCAGTCTGTGCTTTATCAGATATAAAGTTTTATATCTGATAAAGCACTCCTGCTTGCGTTTTAAATAGTACATAAAACGTTGTTTTCTCTATTTCCTTTAGCTTGAATGCCGCACCAAATTCCGAATTATTTTACAAAATCAATTGGGTCTATGTGCCTTGCCACGCCCTTCCTAATGAAGACACGGCAAGGAAAATCTCAATAACCAACACATACAACCTAACAACATCTACATCCAGTAACAGTACCACAATTACAGTGTGCAAAGTAACAAAAAACAGTAACGCCAGCACGGGAATGAGAGTGGCAGTTGGCAAGGGATCACGATTGTCAGCAGTGGATCATATTTTGGTGGTTTTTTATCTTTTGGCTGTTCCTGGACGGTTTTGCTAAATAGATTTTTATTAAATTTTCAAATAAAAGATTCATTTGTAACTGATGAGGTGTATAATTGACGCAGTAAAGTTAGACTGGTATACCAGTTTTCGATAAACTTCGTATACAAGGGCAGCATTTAATAAGAGAGGCACAATTTCGATAAGGGTGCTACAGCGAAGCCAGAGAAGGGGGGGGGGGGCATCGCCCCTGCAGCCCTTTTTGGTTTTAGGGGAATATCTGAGATCTTCTAAAACATCATTAAAAAATCATTGCACGATCGCATGCATGCATATGAGCCCAAAAATCGCGAATCAAAATAAGGTTTTTTAGGCAAAATGGCGTCGATTTGACTATGAAATCGCCGATTTTGTCGGTCGTGTAAAATCCCCACTAACGACATTTTCAAAAATAAATGTCGGCGGGAAGCAGAGAAGATAGAATTCGAAATTTATGAACCCGTTGGAAAGTGCCCACAGAGTATAATTGGACAGGAATACAGTTTATTAGTTAATATCATGAACACATGCATGCTAGTTTAGTAGAACACATATGCTAGTGAGATAATTTTGCTTTTTTAAAATATAAAATAGGGAAATTTAGGAAACTTTTAATACATACACACAGCTTATTGTGCATTATTTTACTACGTACACACACCTTATTGTACATGAAACGACTTTCCCGCATGTTTTCAAAATCTTGGATCATTTCACTCCTGGCAGTCAGTGACATGACCACCAACGTTTACCACACCACTTTTGAAACCGTTAGCATGCAGATTTCCCTTTTCCGGGTATAAACAGCCGTGCGGAATTAGTACCCTCGCTGCGTTGCAGTGACGCACTGTTGTTTGCGTATAGGAAACTGAGAACGTCTATTATCTGTAGGCGCGAGCAGCCAATGGCGAAACGGAATGTGTATACGTATGTGTAATAATAATTAGTTATTTTGTTTAGTTCGCATTGTGTTTCGAAACCTTGAATGCCAATGAAGCAACAGAACAATCTAACAAAATTTACAAGTATTAAGTAGAAATTTACTTTCATTTTCCGTTTTCGTACATACATACATATGTCTCTGGTGAAAGACATATTTGTGTTCTATAAATACTAAACATTTGCACAAAAGCAAATCAATCAAAACTTTAATTGTTTCAGCGCGTCAGTGATTGAATTGCAGACTTGTTTTTAGAAATTTCAAATACCTTTGATTGCAGCGCACGTAGTTAATACGTATAGTTGGAACACTTATCAAAGCTGTAAATTGTTAATTTAGAGCTTGAAATGAGCCCTGTAACAATTTGTGGACAGCCAGCACACATCATGTCAGAGAATCTATAGACAATCTTCTAAAAATGTAAAAAGCGACTATTCAATTGTACGATTATACACACAACTATAGTTTTTCAGAACTGGGGGAGGCATATATACCCCCAAAATTGGCACAAGAAAGCTTAATTCTCCTTATTAGCAAGACAAGACCTTCTTTATTGTCACCTGTTCTTGGTAAAATTGCTATAATCATATTCTTCCCACGCAACCTCTTTATAATCGTAACAGATCACGCAATGTTGTCGCAGTTTCGAAGCCACTCATTGAGAACAGAACTGAGCTGGAACGTGGTAAGAAAGAAATGTATTTGGCTACACCTTTGGTCCTTGTTTGCCTGATGGCATCCCAGGTTTGTTGTGATCATGGCCAATTTGTGTTTGTCATCAGAAAGTTGCAGTTCACAACATGCGTCACCAACCCAATCAACGATATATGCCCTGTAAATCACAAGGTTCCCGATCAAAATCTCCCTAATCGTACTGTCATAAGTCAGCTTCTAAATTCAACATCAGTCCCGCTTCGTTCCGCAAATGCAAGTGAAAGCTGCATTGCAGCAAACAAAATGTTCCAATGTTCATTGAGAATCTACACGTGCAAAAAAAACGAAAGCTACGTGTATTTAGATTCGGAAAGAGCGTATAGATTGTGTATGGATGCAAGGGATAACTGCACGGGACTGGAGCAACTGTTTAACTGTAGCTTATACAGAAATGCAACTATGCGGCACAGCAAGGGTGTGACATGTAATGAATATCAAAAGTTGGAGAATGATACATGTCCAATGCGGAATTATAAGGTAAGCAATACAATTTCAATATGCAATAAAGTTAGCCAGCCCGATCAAAACCAATATATGATCACTAGATTTACATTTTTTGTTAGTTTGTGTGTATGCCAAAAAGAGGAGCATGGGTGCATTGTCTATAATTATATAGGGTATAGGTTTAAAAGTAGAAAATACTTGCGGATATAATGATTTTGAGCTGATAAGGAGCGGTGCACATAACAAGTATAAGGCTGTGGAATGGACCATTTGCATTATAGACTAAATTTTGATCTAGACAAAAATTTCATCACAGCTTGAAAGAGCATCACAAAATTATAGTAATATTCCAAAGTTTCGTTGCGAAATGTTGTAAAATGCGGATAATATAGCCTTGCGAAGTTTGCAATTTTCAGTCATTTTAGATTACAAACGGGAAATTGATACCCCAACACCCGATTGGGCTGTCAATTTCCCGTTTGTAATCTAAAATGACTGAAAAACGGCAAACTTCGCATGGCTATATTATCCGCATTTTACAACATTTCGGAACGAAACCTTGGAATATTACTAATTTTGTGATGCTCCTTCAAGCTGTAATGAAATTTTTGTCTAGATCAAAATCTAGTCTATAATGCAAATAGTCCATTGCATACATGCATATAGTTTTGAAAGCATGCATTTCATTGTGTAATTACCCGAGACTGACGTCTACAGACTCTGTATAGTTAAATAATTATATTTAATATACTTGGAAAGTTTTTTTTATAAAATAACATGTACATAACGCGTATTCTGATTGGTCGAAACCCGTGTTTGGATCAGGCCATCCAAACATGGAAGACTATCGTGTTGTTGTTATTTTATAAAACAATTACTTTATGGTTTCCGTGTTTGGATGGAATGATCCAAACACTTGGGAATGTTGCTCGAGTTAAGAAAAGCGGGCAAAGTCACTCGCCTTCGGCTCGTGATTTCGCTCGCTTTTCTTAACCCTCTTGCAACATTCCCGCGTGTTTGGATCAGGCCATCCAAACACGGAAACCATAAAGTAATTGTATATTATGATACAACACGTAAAATCGAAAAAAATTTCTTGAAACTTTTGTCAAAGAGCGTGAATTTTTTCCCGTTTTCACTACGAACTGCTGAGCTACACACTTCCGTTACAAGTTTTGATTTTTGAACGTCAAAACCGATGAGGTTAATATCCTGGCTTTCATTTCTGCATACAAAAACTCTAAAACATTGCGTAGAAACGTGACTGAATGGATATTTAAAACGAGTATCT